GGTCCAGGTCGCAGCAGCAGACGGCGATGGGGAAGAAGCTGGGGGGGCAGGCGGGGGGGCAGTAGCGCTCCAGGAAGCCCCTGACGTTGAGGCCGAAGTCGGTGGTGCGGGGCAGGTAGTCAGGGTCAGCACTCACCCGGCCGATGATCTGAGGGAGAGCGGGAGAAAGGAGTGGGATCAGCCCCAAGGGGTACCCAATGAGGACCTCAACCCCAATGGGAATCCTCAACTGGAGGCCCCAACTTCAACAAGGACACTAACTTCAATAGGAGATCTCAACCACAATGGGGAGACCCTAACCATAGACCTCAACTCTGATAAGGACCCCAACCCCAATGTTGGAGACCTCAACTGGAGACCTTAATCCGTATGTTAACCCCAACCATAGACCTCGACCCAAATGAGGGCCCCAAACCCAATAAGGACCTCACCCCAATGGGAGATCCCAATCCCAAATACAGAGACCTCAGCTGGAGACCTCAACACCAATGAGAACCCCAACCCCAGTGGTACTTGCCTCACACAGGACAATGCCAAAGGAGAAGATGTCCACTTTCTCATCGTAGCTCCTCCCTGCAGGGAGAGACGAGTTAGGCCATGCCGCACATCCTGTCCCTGCTCCACCAAGTGTCCCCTGTTTAGGGACAGAGCCCTGGCTAGCCACGTCCACCCTCCTGGCACCACAGCCAGGCTCACCATTGATCATCTCGGGGGCCATCCAGTATGGGTTCCCCACCACCGTGTACCGCTTCTTGCGATCTGGCTTCTTCAGGTTCTTGAGATGTTCGGGCTGGTTCTTCTCATCCACCATCAGCCGTGCCAGCCCAAAATCAGCCACCACCACACTCTTGTTCTGGGTGGACAGAGAAAGGTGAAGCACGGGGGGAGCCACAGGGTGGAGGCCAAAACCCCCACCTGGGCTGGGTGAGCCACCACCAAGGTGGGACTTACCTCCCGTACCAGGCAGTTGTGAGAGTTGAGGTCGCGGTGGATGATGTTCATGGAATGAAGGTAGGCCTGGGGGAAGGATGGGCTGAGAGCTGGGGGCACCCCCACCCCACAGTTCCCCATGCACCAGCACCCATCCCACCCACCTGTTCCCCGACACAGTACCCACCATTCCAGCAGCGATGTCCTTGGCGAAGCTGACCCGCTGGCTCCAGGGGTAGTGGTTGTCCTAGGGACAAAAAGGGTGGAGGTTTGCCAGAGAAGAGGAGAGGAGAGGGGTTCCCCAGCCCCACTGAGGCTGTAGGGTGGTAGAGGGCTGACCTGCCCCCCCAGTGCTCACCATGCTCTTGATGAGGCTCCTCAAGGTGCCCCCCTTGATGTACTCCGTGATGAAGTTGAGCCTCTTCTCCTTGTACAGCACCCCGATGAACTTCAGCACGTTAGGGTGCTCCAGGCAGCGCATCACCTTCACCTGTGGGACACCCCCATGCCCGTGACACCCCAAGGCACCCAGCACTCACCCAGACAGACCTACTGCCATGCTCTCCATTAAACAGGCAGCGCTGCCTGTGCCCCACGGTACCTGGCCGACCCCACCGCATGCACCATGCCCAGCACTCCACGGCAGGGCGACAGGATCGGACAGTCCCATCCCTCGTGTCCCTCCCCAGACCAAGGTGATTAAAGGAAGGGGACACTCACCTCTTTGAGGAAAGTCCTCTGCGTCTCCTCATCAAAGCGGATCAACTCCTTCATGACCATCACCTCGCCTGTCTCCCGATGTGTCACCTGGCAGGGAGGGCAGGGGCTGAGCCACCGGCTCCCCCCTGCCCAGA